TGATCCTTCGTTCTTTTCGTCAGAAGCTGTTTTCCATCCTTCTCCGATGTTCTGAGGATGGGTTTTTCCCTAGGGACCTGGGGCAGGTCGGGAGGCTGGTCCAGTTCCTTCAGTACCTTCCTCAAAAAGTTGACAGTGTCCCTATCCACCAGCCTGCTCAGTTCTGTGTTCATTGCCGACAAGCACAGGGCTTGTAACAAGGGAGGACTGGCCACCACCGCGGGCGGCCTGAGGGCGGCCTCGGCTTGTGTGGTTGGGCCACTCTCCTCACGGCGGGCTCCACACACTTCGTGGCGGGCAGAGCCCCTGTGGCCCAGTGCCTTCGCGCTTCTTCGAGTGAGTTGTCTCTTCACTAGGAGAACCAGCAGCACAGTCCATATGAGCACCGCACAGGGCAACACGGGGAGACTCGGGGTGTGTCCCCAGCTTTCAGAAATCAGCTGCAGCGCCCCCCACAGGTGCTCCAACACCAGCTGGCAAGTGGATCTGGTGGCCAAGAGGGCGCCCTCCATGGCTGCGTCAGGCTCCACAGCTCTGTCTCCAAGTGCCAGAGTCCTGTGGCCACAACGGACCACTGAGAATCCTGTGGAGAGTTCCACCTATGAGGTCAACGGTGCCCGGCAACCAGGGCAGAGCAGTTGGGCTGGGGGAGGGGAGGCCAGCCAGGTTCCAGAAAACAGTTGCCCCTGACTTTGCCATGAAGTAGAAAGTTGTCTCAATCACACAAGCCCTGGGGGAGGTGGGAAGGGCTGATCCCGGCCCGGAGCCCAGCCACTCAGGCCCACCTGGCACTACAGCAAACCTAGGGGCTCAAGGCAGGGCCAGGTCACGTCCGTCCGTGCGCACAAGACAATCAGGGCAAAGTGTTCAGGCCTCCTTCCCGGGCGAGGCCCGTTCTCCTGATCTGAAGTTTCCCTTGGCTTCAGGGACTCCTGGTCCTGTCTGCAAATGTCCCAGGGATCTCCCTCCATTTTTAATTGCATCACATTAATAGCCTTTTTGATTTCAACACGCGCAGATTTTAGTTCTTTCATTTCTCCAGAAAGAGATTCTGTAGTGTCTTCTATGCTTTTTTCAAGCCCATCTATTATCTTTATAATCATTATTCTGAACTCTAGTTCTGACATCTTACTTACCTCCATACTGATTAGGTCCTTGGAAGTCAGTACTGCCTCTTGTTCTCTTTTGTTGAGGTGAGTTTTTCTGTCTTAGACCATTTTGTCCAGGAAGAATAGATGAATGAAAGAACAAAATACCACAATGACAGCAATGACCCCAGAGAAATATACACTAAACAAATCAGGAGAGATCTTAAACTAAAAAAAAAAAAAATTGAAATTAAAGAATCAAAAGGAGAATATAACCAGAGGTGAACAGAATAGAGCAATACACTGGATCCTGTGTGTATTTTGGTCTGTTTGTTAGAAAACTAGATCCCAAAATTGTAAAGTAAGAAAAACTTATGTGTGTACAATAATAAAATAAAATACAGTGAAAGAATAGAATGTAACTGTAGACATGAAAATTAAAAAAGAAAAAAATGAAAAAAAGAAGACAGGAATATAAACAGGTGAACAGAACAGAGCTATACATTATATCCTGAGCGTATTTTGTTCAGTTTGTTTGAAGAAACTACATCTCAAAATTATAAAGAAAGAATAACATATATATACAAAAATAACATTAAATACATTGAAAGGATAGAATGTAAGTGTAAAGATGAAAGTACAAAAATGACTTTAAGAAAACAAAACAAAACAAAGACAAAAAAGAGAGAATACGATCAGATAGGTGAAGAGAAGAGAACCATATGCTAAATTCTGGGTGTATTTTGGTCTATTTGTTAGAAGAAACTGCATCCCAAAATTGTAAAGAAAGAAAAACTTATATATATACAAAAATAAAATTAAATACAATGAAAGGATAAAATGTAAGTGTAAAAATGAAAAAAAAGATTTTAAAAAAAGTTGATAAAGTAAGAAATTGGTTGAATAATGAAAGAGAAAAAAATTAAAATAAAAGACTTCTCAATTTCCTATGGCTGCTATAATCAATTATTACAAACACGGTGGCTTGAACACAGTTCTGGAGGCCAAGAGCATGAAGTCAAGGAGTCAGCAGGGCCATGCTCCCTCCAGCCATTCTAGGAGGGAATCCTTCTTTGCCTCTTCAGTTCTGGTGTCTGTTCTCATTCTTTGGCTTGTGACATTGTCACTCTAATCTCTGACTCTGCTGTCCCATAGTGTTCCTTTTTGTGCGTCCATCTTCTTCTGTTTGTTAGAAGGACACCTATCATTGGATTTAGTGTGCACCTGGGCAATCTACAATGATCTCTCAATATCCTTAACTTAATTACATCTGTGTACTCTATATCTAAATATGATCACATTCACAGGCTCCAGGAGTTAAGATGTTGACATATCATTTTGCGGGCCACCATTCAATGCACTACAGAAGTAATACATTCACTTACTATTCTTTTAGTAACTGCAATCAAAGGTAAAAAGTATGCCTTTGACTTACTACAGACAAATATAAATTAGAGCCTCTGATCTTTTCCCAGAAAATATGAGGACACTAGAATACTTTAACTTCATTTACTACTCCCACAATCTACATATCATTGCTGAACTATATTTTATTGTATTCACTGTAAGCCCAAGAAGGCAGTGGAATATAAGGAACAATGCAGAGGATCATAGGGGAAGGGAGGAAAGATCAGAGAAGGAGACAAACCGTGAGAGACTCTTGACTCCAGGAAAAAAACTGAGGGTTGTGGAAAGGGAGGTGGGTGGGGGGATGGGGTAATTGGGTGATGGGATTTTTAAGGAGGGCACGTGTTGTGATATGCATTGGGTGTTATATGCAACTAATGAGTCATTGAACACTACACGAAAAACTAATGATGTACTATATGTTGGCTAATTGAATTTAAATTTTAAAAAAAGAAGGCATTATCACTCTGGAAAACTGTATGGAGGTTCGTCAAAAAGTTGAAAATAGAGCTACCCTATGATCCAGCAATTACACTACTGGGTATTTACCCCAAAGATACAAAGGTAGGGTTCCGAAGGGGTACATGCACCCCGATGTTTATAGCAGCAATGTCCACAATAGCCAAACTGTGGAAAGAGCCAAGATGTCCATCGACAGATGAATGGATAAAGAAGAGGTGGTATATATATACAATGGAATATTATGCAGCCATCAAAAGGAATGAGATCTTGCCCTTTGCAACGACGTGGATGCAACTGGAGGGTACTATGTTGAGTGAAATAAGTCAAACAGAGAAAGACATGTATCCTATGATCTCACTGATATGAGGAATTCTTAATCGCAGGAAACAAACTGAGTGTTGTTCGAGTGGGGGGTGGGTTGGGAGGGATGGGGTGACTGGGTGATAGACACTGGGGAGAGTATGTGCTCTGGTAAGCTCTGTGAATTGTGCAAGACTGTTGAGTCTCAGATCTGTACCTCTGAAACAAATGCAATATATGTTAAGAAAAAAAAAAAAGAAGAAGGTAGCGGGAGGGGAAGAATAAAGCGGGGGAAATCGGAGGGGTAGACGAACCATGAGAGACAATGGACTCTGAAAAACAAACTGAGGGTTCTAGAGGGGAGGGGGTGGGAGGATGGGTTAGCCTGGTGGTGGGTATTGAGGAGGGCACATTCTGCATGGAGCACTGAGTGTTATGCACAAACAATGAATCATGGAACACTTCATCTAAAACTAACGATGTAATGTATGGGGATTAACATAAGAATAAAAAAATAAATTAAAAAAAAGAAGGCATTATTATTGCTTTACACAGTTAATACATGGGCAGCACAACAAAATAGACAGAAATATTAAATTTTGGAAGTATCTAATTAATGAATATTTTTTTTTTTCTTCAAGAGGAAAAGGATCAATTGGATTTATTTTTTCAAGTGGATCTTTTTTATTTATCCATGTTTTTACTCTACAAATGCTTATTTAGTGTCTTCTCTGTGGCAGGGATTGGGAATAGAGGAGCAAACATGGCAGACAAATTCTCCAAAGCTTGGGTTATAAAACTGTTGAACTGGAATTTTTGCCTGGAGAGGATCTCTAAGATTATCCGGTAAAGTGTATTGCGATGTTGAGGAATCTGAGGTTTAGTAGGTTGAATGACTTTCTGTTCCAGGAGGTCACACAATCAGAACCATGGGGTCCTTAAGCTCCCCATGTAGTGTTTCTAATCTCTAGAGCAGACATGAGCTACCCACTGCATTTGAAGCAGGCAAGGCTATGTGGGCTCCAGCAGAAAACTGTTTTACGGACACAATGCATCTTCACCCCTTGGAAACTATCTCCTAAATGTATATCTTTGGTCAAATATAATACCCATGACCGATTCCGGAAAAAAACAAGATCTGTGGAAGGTTCTAGTCGTGGAAAACTTTAATATGTTATTAGTAATGATCATAAGAGTTAGTATCTCTTGAGCACACACAATATGCCAGCGTCTGTGTTAAGAGTTTTGTGGGGGCATTCAGGTCTCATGACAGCTTTATGAAGTTGGTGTCATGATGCTCATCCTTCTTTTAAATGTGAGGACGTTGACATCAGCCTGTTCAGGTGGTGACATGGCGAATGGTGCAAACAGGTGCTCACCTGGAGAACTGGGCCTTCTCCAACTCTAGGCAGTCCCAGATGTGAGTGCTGATCGACAGAAGATGCAGCTGTTCTTTCCAGGAGTTCCCTGAGCTGTTCTAGCAAATTCCCAAGATCACACCAGTCCTCCCAGAGAGAAGGGGAGAGAAGAGTGGCCTAGTCCTTTCCCCCTTCTCTTAAATCACTTGCTAGAATGCTGCCCTTGATGGTTCTTCTTTCACGTATTGAAGTAGTATTTTCCATCTAAATGTGGCCATTGCATCAGGAAGAGGGGGAGCTATGAAAACAGTCAATGTGTCCCATGTGGTTTGTCCACGCGGTGCTGGTACAGTGACACAGTGAAGGCAGGCGGCGGGGCAGGCACCTTGGCAGCAGGAGGTGGCAGGAAGCGTCGGCAGGAAGCGAAGGCAGGCGGCAGTGGCAGCGGGCCGGCAGGTGGTGACAGGAAGCGGCGGCAGGAAGCGAAGGCAGGCGGCGGGGCAGGGGGCATTGGCGGCGAAAGGCGGTGACAGGAAGCGGCGGCAGGAAGCGAAGGCAAGCGGCGGGGCAGGGGGCAGCGGCGGCGGCAGGTGGTGACAGGAAGCGGCGGCAGGAAGTGAAGGCAGGCGGCAGGGCAGGCGACAGTGGCAGCAGGCAGCAGCGCGGGCAGGCTGTGGTAAGCCGTGGCTGGCAGTCAGGCAGCCACAAGCAAGGGAGGCGGGCGGTGCGAGGAGGTAGCAGGCGTCGGCGGCAGGAAGCGGTGGGACGCAGGCAGCTGGGGCGGCAGGCAGGCAAGCCCCGGCAAGCGGCAGGCAGGCGGCAACAGGAAGCAGCGGCAGCGGTGTCAGGAGGCAGTGGCAGGAAGCGGTGACAGACAGCAGAGGCAGGTGGCGCGGGAAGGTGGCAGGAGGAGGCAGGCTGCAGCGGAGGCAGGCAGTGGGGGCAGCGGGCTGCAGGCGCCAGCGGTAGGCAGGCAGTGGCGGCAGATAAGAGGTAGCAGGTGCAGGCTGCAGTAAGCAGCGGCTGGCAGGCAGGCCACGGCAGGTAAGGGCCGCGGGTGGTGCAAGGATATAGCAAGTGGTGGCAGCAGGCAGGTGGCAGACATCAGCATTAGGCAGGCGGCAGCTGTGGCGATTGGCAGGTGGCAGCGTTAGGCCGGCGGTGCTGTCAGCGGTGGGGTTAGGCAGGCAGCTTTGGCATGCATTCTCGGGGTTAGGTAGCTGGGCCCGGTGGAACCAGGCTGCGGCAGCAGACGGCGGTGGCAGGCAGGCGGCCACGGATGCGGCGGGCAGCAGGCGGCGGGCGCAGGCAAGGGCGGTGGGTTGCAGAAGGCAGGTGGCGGCGGCAGGCAGAGGTAAGTGGCAGCAGGGGGCGGCAGTGGTAGTACTGACTGGTGGCGGCAGCAGGCATGCGGTGGCAGGAGGCGGTGGCAGGCAGCGGCAGGCAGGTGGTGGAAGTCGGTGACAGGTGGCAGCGGGCAGCAGCAGAGGTGGCAGTGGTGACAGCACCAGCGGGTGGCGTCCTCGCCTGCAGTGGCTACAGGGGCGGCAAGGGCTGCAGGGGCGCCAGCTTTGGGCAGCCCCGGGTCATTGGGTGGCAGTGTGTGGCAGCCTCAGCAGCAGGTGGCATTGGCTTCAGCCGGAGTCACGGGCGGGGGAAGCAGGCGCCGCGATAGGGGCGGGGTCAGCAGCAGGCGGGTCAGCGTTGGCAGCGTGGGTCAGTGTGGGGAGGGGCGCCGGAAGCGCCGGCGGGCATCTGCGGGTTACGCGGCGGCGTCCCCGGCGTTAGCGGCGTCCGCGGCGTTCGCGGCGTCAGGAGTAGTGCTGGCGTCAGTCGGCTTCAGCGTTGGGTAGCAGCGGACGCTCTGGGCAGCAGAGGCAGCAGCAGGAGTATCAGCAGCGAGCGGCGGCAGCGGTAGGTCCCGGGTTAGTGGGGGTCAGTATGTGGCAGCGGGAGGCGGTGGAGGCAGGGGAGGCAGGGGGCGGCAGTAAGCGGTGGGGGCAGGGAGGCAGGTAGCGGCAGGCAAGTGTGGTGGGCGGCGGCGGTAGGTGATTGCAGGCGGCGGCAGGAAGCGGTGGCGGGCTTGGGTAAGAAGCGGCAGGCAGGCAGGCGGCGGCGGCAGGCAGGCAAGGGCGGCGGGCGGTGGAAGGAGGTAGCAGGCAGCGGCGTCGGCAGGGGGCGGGGGCAGGCAGGGTGCGGCAGGCAGCTGGCAGACAGTTGCAGGCATGCTGCAGCACTGGGGGTACGCAGTAGCCGCAGGTGGCAACAGGCAGTGGCGGCAGGAAGTGGCGGCGGGCAGTGGTGGGGTCAGGTAGTGGCGGCCGGAAGGCCCCGGCTATGGGCAGGCAGGGGGCGGCGGCGGCAAGAGGTGGCAGACGGGGGCAGGCAGTGGTAAGCGGCGGCAGGCGCAGGTCCAGGCAGCAGCGTTAGGTAGGCGGCAGCGGTAGGCATGTGCTGGCGGGGGGCTGCCGTGGCGGGTAGTGGTAAGTGGCAGTAGGCGGGGGTAGGCGGCGATGCTGCAGGCCGTGGCGGGCTGCAGGCAGCAGGGGCCAGGCAGGAAGCGGCGGCTAACAGTCGCAGCCGGCCGTAAGCGGTGGCAGAAAGCGGCGGCAGGGGCAGGTGTCAGGGGGATGCGGGCCGCAGCGGGGGCAGGCAGTGAGGGCAGCAGACAGCAGCGGCGGCAGGTGGCAGCGGCTGGCGGTGGGGCCAAGCGGGCTGCAGGGGGCAGCGGCAGCAGGTGGCGGCGGTAGGCAGGCAACGTTGGCAACCATCGTCGAGGTTAGGCAGCGGAGGCTGGTGGCAGTAGCCGCAGATGGCAACAGGCGGTGGTGGCAGGAAGCAGTGGCAGGCGGTTGGCGGGGACAGGTGGTGGCCGCAGGCAGCAGTGTTAGGAAGGCGGGAATTGCAACTGTTGGGAGGCGGCAGTAGTAGGCATGCGTTGGTGGCGGACTGCGGTGGCGGGCAGTGGTAAGCGGCAGCAGGCGGCGGTGGTAAGGAAGCGGCAGCGGGCCGTGGCGGGCAACCGGCAGCGGTGTCAGGCGGCAGTGGCAGGAAGCGGTGGCAGACAGCGGAGGCAGGTGGCGCGGGAAGGTGGCAGGAGGAGGCAGGCTGCAGCGGAGGCAGGCAGTGGGGGCAGCGGGCTGCAGGCGCCAGCGGTAGGCAGGCAGTGGCGGCAGGTAAAAGGTAGCAGGTGCAGGCTACAGTAAGCAGTGGCTGGCAGGCAGGCCACGGCAGGTAAGGGCCGCGGGTGGTGCAAGGATATAGCAGGCGGCGGCAGCAGGCAGGCGGCGGGGACAGGCAGGTGGCAGAGAGCAGCATTAGGGAGGTGGCAGCGGTAGGCCGGTGGTGCCGGCAGCGGTGGGGGTAGGCAGGCAGCGTTGGCATGCATTCTCGGGGTTAGGTAGCTGGGCCCGGTGGAGCCAGGCTGTGGCAGCAGACGGCGGCGGCGGCAGGCAGGCGGTCATGGATGCCGGCGGGCAGCAGGCTGCAGGCGCAGGCAAGGGCGGTGGGTGGCAGAAGGCAGGTGGCGGCGGCAGGCAGAGGTAAGCGGCAGCAGGGGGCGGCAGTGGCAGACGGCAGTGGTAGTACTGACTGGTGGCGGCAGCAGGCAGGCAGTGGCAGGCGGCGGTGGCAGCATTGGTGGGCAGTGGCTGCAGGCAGCGGCAGGCAGGCGGTGGCAGTCGGTGGCAGGCGGCAGCGGGCAGCAGCAGAGGTTGCAGCGGTGACAGCACTAGCGGGGGGCGTCTGCGGCTGCAGCGGCTGCAGGGGCGGCAAGGGCTGCAGGGGCGCCAGCTTTGGGCAGCCCCGGGTCATCGGGTGGCGGTGTGTGGCAGCCTCAACAGCAGGTGCCATTGGCTTCAGCCGGAGTCACCGGCGCGGGAAGCAGGCGCCGCGATAGGGGCGGGGTCAGCAGCAGGCGGGTCAGCGGCGGCAGCGACGGTCAGCGTGGGGAGGGGCGCCGGAAGCGCCGGCGGGCAGAGTCGGGTTACCCGGCGGCGTCAGCGGCGTCAGCGGCGTCAGCGGCGTCAGCGGCGTCAGCGGCGTCAGCGGCGTCAGCGGCGTCAGCGGCGTCAGCGGCGTCAGCGGCGTCAGCGGCGTTAGCAGTATTGCTGGCGCCAGTCAGCTTCCACGTTGGGCAGCAGAGGAAGCTCCGGGCAGCAGAAGCAGCAGCAGGAGTATCAGCAGCGGGCGGCGGCAGCGGTAGTTGCCGGGTTAGTGGGGTCAGTATGTGGCAGCGGGGGGCGGTGGAGGCAGTGGAGGCAGGGGGCGGCAGTAAGCGGTGGGGGCAGGGAGGCAGGTAGCGGCAGTCAAGTGTGGTGGGCGGCGGCGGTAGGCGATTGCAGGCGGCGGCAGGAAGCGGTGGCAGGCTGTGGTAAGCAACGGCACGCAGGCAGGCGGCCGCGGCAGGCAGGCAAGGGCGGCGGGCGGTGGAAGGAGGTAGCAGGCAGCGGCAGGGGAAAGGGGCAGGCAGGCGGAGGCAAGGGGATGCAGGCAAGGGTGGCAGGCGGCAGCGGCAGGTAGGTGGCTGGGGCGGTAGGCAGCGATAATTGGCAGCAACTGGCGGGGGCAGCGGCCCGGTGGCGGTAGGGGCAGGGTCAGCGCTGGGCAGTCAGTGCCAGCAAGCAGCAGGCGGCAGAGGGCGGCAGCGTGGGCCAGCCGCGTCGGCGGTCAGAAGCATCGTCTGTGATGGGCAGCGGGTGTCAGTGGCGGTAGCTGGGGGCAGTGGCGGTAGCTGGGGGCAGTGGCGGTATGGCTGGGAGCAGAGGGAGCCGGGGGCATCGGCGTCCTTGGAACCCTAGCATGCTGCGGTTCCGAGGAAGAGGTGCCCCTCAGCCTGGTATCTGCAGGGGACACAGGGGGCCACACAGACCCAGTGGCCAAGCCTGAGACGGAGTGCCAAGTCCTGCTTCCTCCCATTGGGGAGGCCAGGTGAGTTCGGCCTCTGCTCTGGGCCTGAGCTTCAGTCTCTCCATCTGTAAAGTGGGCAGAACAGCCAAACCTTAGGGTTATGGTGCAGATTTAACGTAGGTAATGGGTTTCCTCTAGACTGGTTCAGAGTACAGGTTGTCATTCCTCTTATTCCACTTCCAGCTGTGTGTCCTTGAGCAAGATAGGTAATCGCCAGGCCTCAGAATTCTCATCTGAGAGATGGGCCTGCAAAGAGGACCTATATAGGCTTGTTTTGGGGATTTAGTGAAGTAGTACACAGAACCCATTTCCAAAGTCAATGTAAATCATGGTTCCTGGCACGAGATAAGTGCAGTAAGAGTCTTTGGGATTAATATCACAGAAGTATTAGTTATTGTTATTGCTAGCACTGGGGAAGGAACACCTTGATTGCCATCCTCATGATTATCATCGTGAGTTAATTGAGGAGCTGCTCTGTGCCTGGCACTGGCTAAGCATTCTACACCCTTTATCAGTTTGCACATCTCCGTGGGCTAGGATCCTGATAGGCCTCTGAGTCTTAGAGACGCAGGTAATGCTTGGAACCAGATTTCAAGCCCTTGTCTTTGCAGCTCCAAAACCTGTGCTTCCAACCTCTCCATGTTTGGGGCGTATCCGAAACCCTCATGCCTCTCTGCTTGACTCTGCACCTTACAGCTTAGAATAGGGCCTAACCCAGAGGAATACAGAGGGATAAGTATTCTCTATTTCTGTTACCATCGTAGTCTTTATTCACTCGCAGTGCTTTATGGGCACAGATGTAACGGCGGTGGTTAGTGATTCAGATCAAGAGCTGACAGACCATCCCAACTGAGAGAAATGAGACCCATTTTATGTGTTCCTCTCCCCCTAGAATGACGGTCAAGAGACAGTGATGACTCAGAGGTTGCCAGTGAGTTAAAGAAGTTGGCTGCCCAGCCGCAAGAGCCTGAGTAGACAGCAGCGGCGACCTTTGGTAGCATCTCAAAAGACACCTACACGATGGAACATGCCCAGGGATTTGGAAAACCGGTAAGGCACTTTCCATCCACCCTGCATTGTTCTTCCTCAACTTTTTCAGTATCTCCCAGGAACTCCCTGCTTCTTCCTGTACCCCTAAGCGGGATGCAGTGCCCAGTGCTCTGGGTAGAGAGGAGCCTAGCACTTTACATGCTGTTCTGTGCACGCACTCACCAGTGTACAAAGCTCTCCTTTAGCCTCTGTGAGGAACAGGAGGGCAGTTTCCCGCACAGATTTGGGCAGGTCCCTGCACTTTCTGAGTCCCCTGAACAATGGTGTACGGCTTACCTGTTTAAATCCAGTTTTGTCTTGGAGTGTTTTACAAGACCTTTTCCTTAGGATAACTTGTAAGATCACTCTCTTTACAACTTCGAAGCTTGTAATACAGTGTTATTAAATATAGCCGCCATGTTGTACGTTACATCCTGTGACTGACTGACTTTATACCTGTAAGTTTGAACCTTTGACCCCTGTCACCCATTTCACACCCATCCCCCTGCCTGTCAACCACCAATCTGACTGCTGTATCTTTAAGCTCAGTTTTTTGGTGTTTTTAGATTCCATATAAAAGTGTTGTCATAGAGTATTGGTCTCTGACTTCTTTCAGTTAGCATCGTGCCCTCAGGGTCCATCCATGTTGTTGTAAAAAGAACGATTTCGTTTTTTGTTATGGCTAAAGAGTATTGCAGTGTCTACATACACCACATCTTCCTTATCGATTCATCCCTCCGTGGACATGTAGGTTGTTCTCCTATCTTAGCTGTTATGAATAATGCTGCAGTGAACATGGGGGTTCAGGTATCTTTTCAAATGGGTGTTTTTGTTTTCCTTGGCTAAATGGCCAGGAGAAAAATTGCTGGATTGTAGGCTCGTTCTAGTTTTAATGTTTTGAGGAGCCTGCATACTCTTTTCCACAGTGGATGCACGTACCTACGTTCCCACCAACAGCTCACTGGGGTTCCCTTTCGGCCACATCCTTGCTAACATGTGTTATTTCTCATCTTTTTGATACTAAGTTTTCTAACCAGTGTGAGGTGCTATCCCATTGTTGTTTTGATTTGCATTTCCCTGATGATTCATGATGTTGAGCATCTTTTCACGTCCCTGTTGGATCTCTGGATGTCTTCTCTGGATAATGTCCATTTGGATAATCCTCCCACTTTTTAACCACTTTGTTTTTTTGCTGTAGTTATTGAGTGTAGGAGTGCTTTATATGTACTGGATACTAATCTTTTTTTTTTTTTTTAAGGATTTATTTATTTATTTATTTGAGAGAGAGAATGAGATAGAGAGCATGAGAGGGGGGAGGGTCAGAGGGAGAAGCAGACTCCCTGCTGAGCAGGGAGCCTGACTTGGGACTCGATCCCGGGACTCTGGGATCATGACCTAAGCCGAAGGCAGTCGCTTAACCAACTGAGCCACCCAGGCGCCCCTCCATACAAATTTTAAAGATTCTTTGCCTTATGTCTTTAAAACGTGTTTCGAATTTTGGTAAGAATTGCATTCAATCTCTAGACGGTTTTGGGTAGTGTAGACATTTTAACACTTAATTCTTCTAATCTATGAGCATGGAATGTCGATTTACTTGTGTTGTCTTCCGTTTCTTTCCTTAGTGTCTTACAGTTTTCAGTATATAGGCTTTCACCTCCTTGGTTAAATTTATCTTTAAGTGTTTTTTGTGTTGTTTTTTTTTTTGATGCAGTTTTAAATATTATTTTTTAAATTTATTTTCCTGTTCATTATTAGTATATAAAAATGGAACATATTTTTATGTACTTTTTATCCTGCAACTTTATTGAATCTGTTTAATAGTTTTTTTCATGTTGTTTTTAGGGTTTTTTTACATATAAAATGTCATTTGAATATAGTGACCTTTTTTTTTTTTCTTTAAAGATTTTATTTATTTATTTGAGACAGAGAGAATGAGAGACAGAGAGCATGAGAGGGAGGAGGGTCAGAGGGAGAAGCAGACTCCCTACCCAGCAGGGAGCCCGATGCGGGACTCGATCCCGGGACTCCAGGATCATGACCTGAGCCGAAGGCAGTCGCTTAAACAACTGAGCCACCCAGGCGCCCCTGAATATAATGACCTTTACTTCTTCCTTTCCAATTTGGATGTATTTTATTTCTTTATTTTTCTTGTGTAATTGCTCTGGCTAGGATTTCCAGTAGTATAATTGACCGTTGTCCATCGTCGGTTTGAATTGTGTGGTCCAATGAATACCTTTTTTATTCAGTAAATACAGGCATTGCTTGTAAAGGTATTGTCCTTTTGAATTTTTTTTTCTTTTAAAATGATTATTTATATTCTACTTACTTAACATACAGTGCAATATTGCTTTCAGGAGAATTCCGTGATTCATGACTTGCTT